ACGTTATGCAGTGTTTTGCAGATTCTACATTATTCTTTAGCGTTGCATAGTATTCCATTGTGTGAATGTACCAAAGTTTGGTTATCCATTCCTCAGCCATTGGACATCTAGGTTGCTTCCAAGTTTTGGCTATTGTAAATAGTGCTGCGATGAACATCGGCGTGCATACATCTGTTCTTGTTATGGCTCTCACTTCTTTAGGGTATACACCCAGTAATGGGATGGCTGGGTCAAATGGTATTTGTATTTCCATTAGTTTTTTTTTTAAGTATAGCAATTTTAACAGTTAAATAGAATTGAGAGAAATGTATAAGTGAAATATGAAGCAAGATGATTCTTGGATTTTTAAGTACCCCTTTTTCTTACTAGAAATGAAAGTAGTTTCCTCATTGCTATTATATAGAAAGGCTAGAAGATGATGGCAAGGAAGTCTTGCAAAATACAGAAGAAAAGTAACAGAGGTAACAAATATGACAGGATCTAAAAATAAAGAGCTGACATTTACTATGGCTAATTATTTGTCAGATACTGTTCTAAATACTTTGTTTTTAAACATATTAATCCTCGCCATAACATCATGAAGTAGATAATATTACTCATCTGTATTCAGATAGGCATACAATGATAATAACTTGCTTAAACGTCACAGAAGCTAGCTAGTGATGGGAGAGGTTCAACTCCAGATCTCTTCCAGAGTCCACACAAATTGAAAGCTCCCTCCAAGTTGCCCTTACAGTATAGCACTGGACACAGTCAGAAGCCCAGAAGTGGTGTGATAAGGTAACTCTTGTGTTTCCTCAGCCTGGTTTTCTCATCTTTGAAATGGAAGTAATCCTTCCTTGTGAGAGGAATGAGATAGTCTGTCACATGGTGGACATTCAACAGATGTTAATTTTTTCTCTCTCCTTTTTATCCCTGACCTCCTTGCTGTGAAATCTCTTAGGACACTTGGTTTTTAACTCCTTGTGCTTATTATTATAGAAATTAAAAAAACAAAAAATAAAAAACTCACTTCCATTGAGTTGATTCGGACTCATAGCAACCCCCATTGGATTTCCCAGGCTGTAAATCTTTATAGAAGCAGACTGCCTCATCTTTCTTCCATGGAGCAGCTGGTGGGTTTGAATCACTGACCTTTTGGTTAGCAACCAATTGCCTTAACTACTATATCACTAAAGCTCCTTATTATTACAAAGTATGGCATATAATGTTAAGTGAGTATTATGAGGGTGATACAGTTGACTGATGTGAGTTTACAAAAGGAGTTTTTGGAAAAACTGTAATTCAGAAAAAGCGCAAACCTCACTTTTAAAGCTGAGTTATCGAGGAGTATGAGAAAATGAGATAATTGTAAGGGTAGAGATAGGCTAGGACTTTATCTGTGGGTGGTGATTATGGGCCCTCTTAATGAAGGAGGGAAGGAGTTGAAAGAGAATAGGGACATGACATAGAACTTAATTTCCTTGTTCACTTTATTGTAGTTGAGGATTCCGGAAGAGTTAGTGGATTTTCTTAAATACTTATTTTATGACTTGGGTCCTGGGAAAATAAGTGTAATAAGTGTTCTAGTGTCTTTAGGATCGCTGAAATGAAATATGCCCTTCTTCCTAATGTCATACTTCACCAGGATAAATGTAACCCAGAACTGAATGGGAAGCACAAAGAGTCTATGGGGAGCCACAATGGGAGCCTAAAGTTGACATACCGAAGCTCTAGTTCAACAAGAACTGCCTATGCCTCCACTAAGGATCTATGCTTTATCTACAGTTCTGTGAAGCTGATTAACTAGTGACGTAGCAGTTAGAAGCAGTCCACTAGGAGGAAAGTATTATTGGACCAATAGTATGTTGAGAGAAAATTGGACCTAAAAGCTCAAAGCACACAGCAATGTGGGGTCATTTACCATATTACTGTTTTATTCCTCCAAAGCCCCAGGACTCTCAAATCTGTGATCATTATGATAATTCTGAAATAACAATGAAAAGTTAAACATGCCCAGTGTAAGAAGGCACCATTATCTAGAAATGAATGTTTTAACATTTAGAAGTGTGGACGTCAGCTCTCTGCAGATTTAGTAAGTGAGCATGAGGGAAGGAAAAGAGAACCACTGTTGTCTTATGCAACTATGAGTGGTAAAAAGGACTCTGGAGGTTTGATTTAGAGACATGATGTGCCACGTGATCCTGGCTTAACCTGTTTCCTCTTTCCCATGGAGAGACTACCTACCTCTCAGAATTGAATTAGAATAAAATGAGATGATAGGTGTGCTGATGCCCTGTAGACTGGAAAGCCTGATGCAGATTTCAGGTTATTTTTCAGTTTGCTCTTTACTTTTGGAAATATTCCTCAGAGGTTTGGTTCTGATGAATTGGTTATCCAAAATGTGAATAAACATCTCTGCAATTCCCCGATTGCTTTTCAGATTTCTGTATTCAGATGAGGTTCAGATTGGTCCAGAAACCGTTATGACCACTCTTTATACTGCTAAGAAATATGCAGTCCCAGCCTTGGAAGCACATTGTGTGGAATTTCTTACCAAACATCTTAGGGCAGATAATGCCTTTATGCTTCTTACTCAGGTAAGTAAGTGTAGCTATGGTAGGTTTTGTTGTAACTTAAAAAATTGAGTATAAACGTTACTATATATGAATTTTTATTATTTCCTAGATGACTAATTATAGATCATTATTTTAAAATATATATACTTATTTCTATAATACCAATCAGAAATAATACCAGATTTGTAAGATTTTAAAATAGGAAAGCAAACCAGAATTTTCTTAATACAATATTAAGAAAAGAAAGAGAGAAACTAGATTGAAGTTAGAATTAATTCATTGTTGTTTTTGCTATGCTTTAGAGTAAGATAGCGAGGAATTTTATGGACAACCTAGTTAACAAGTTTTGTTAGAACTGGTATAAAGATTGAGTATTTCAAGTCGAGAAAAGTTCTAAGATTCAGTTTCTTTGTACCAGTATCTGGAAACTTGCTGATCCACTCCCAGTGGTCACTATTTAAGGTTTTTATGAAATACTTCCTCTGACATATTTTTGAAGTTTGCATTAAATACAGTGTACTTACAGAAAGATGTGCAGGTAAATATACATTTTAATGGATTTTCACAAACAACACACCAAAGGAACCATTAAGTAGTCCATAACATATCTTATTTAGCATTTGTTAAATGCCTATAGTCTGAGCTTTATACTTTAAGATATAAATAAATTGCTGTTTTTCTTTTTGGACAATGTTGTAATACCTGTATACAAATTATTTTAAAATTCTGAGTTAATCATTATACTGGAAGTCCTACCCAGGACCATAAGGCAAGAAAGGGAAATCAGAGGCATCCAAATTAGTAAGGAAGAAGTCAAACTATCCCTATTTGCTGATGATATGATCCTATACCTAGAAAACCCAAGAGACTCAGTCAAAAACCTACTGGAACTAATTGAGAGATTTAGCATTGTGGCAGGATATAAGATCAATGTCCAAAAATCATTTGGATTCCTCTACACCAGCAAAGAGAATGCTGTAAAAGAAATAAGGAAATCAATACCATTCTCAATAGCTACCAAAAAAATAAAATACTTGGGAATAAATCTTACCAGGGATACAAACGACCTGTACAAAAAAAACTATAAAAACCTACTTCAAGAAACCATAAGAGATCTACATAAGTGGAAGAACATCCCATGCTCGTGGATAGGAAGATTGAACATTGTGAAAATGTCA